GCACAAGGTTTTGTTTGTGCCCTCCAAGAGGAAGCCTCTGTAATGTTTCAGTATTTTATTTTGCTTGGGAATGATGTAGCTATTTAATAAATTTCCATCATTTAACTTAATGTAGTCGAGCTCCAAAGCTTCAAGTTATCAAAGAAACTATTTTTAAGTAGACATACCATAAAACATAATTGTTCTTAAAGAGTTCACTTTAAAGCTCTTATCCCACTTATATTTTTTTACTTCACTTGTTATAAATAGATTACCCATGAAATTTCATGAGAAATTAGACCAAGTCACCCATCCTCACAAGCTATTTTTCTTGCTGATGAAATTTTTAAAAGAGATCATATGACCTTATTTGGCTTTTAGTAAACCTAGGTGCTGGCTTCCCTCATAACTCAGTTGGTAAAGAATCTGCCTGCAATGCAGGTGACCTAGGTTTGATTCCTGGGTTGGGAAGATCCCCTGGAGAAGGAAATGGCAATCCACTCCAGTATTCTTGCCTGGAAACTCCCATGGACAGAGGAGCCCAGTAGGCTACAGTTCATGGGGTCGCAAGAGTCAGACATGACTTAGTGATCAAACGCCACCAAGGTAATAGTAAACACCAGCACTTAGTGAGTCTTTTCTTTCTTTTTTATAAGATTTTTGGGGGGGTTGATTTTACTGTTTTTTTATTTTTCTTTTAAACTTTTTATTTTATATTGGAGTATAGCTGGTTAACAATGTTGTGATAGTTTCAAGTGCACAGAAAAGCGACACAGTCATACATATGCATGTATCCATTCTCCCCCAANTATTTCTTTTATTAAATATTAGCCCTCAGTTTTTACCTCATACTCTGTGAAGAAGTGAAGGGAAGGTGTTAGCTGCTCAGTCGTGCCTCTTTTCTACCCCATGGGCTGTAGCCCACCAGGCTCCTCTTTCCATGGAATTCTCTAGGCAGGAATACTGGAGTAGGTTGCCATACCCTTCCCTGGGGATCTTCCTGGTCCAAGGATCGAACCTGGGTCTCCTCCATTGCAGGTGAATTCTTTACTGTCTAAGCCTCCACGGGGGTCCAAGCATACTGGAATGGGTAGCCATTCCCTGTTCCCTTCTCCAGGGGATTTTCCCAATCCAGGGATCAAATCCATGTCTCCTCCATTGCAGGTGGATTCTTTAGCATCTGAGCTGGCAGGGCAACCCTCATACTCTGTGGATTCACGTAATCCTGTGGGTTTCCTTATGATGTTTAACTACCATTGCCTGAGGGGTAGATTTATATGCCCTGTCCAAGCATGGGAATCATTCCTCAGTGAAATATATTGTACATTTCTATAATATAATTGGATGAAATAGATATAACCATCTTATATAAAGCCCATTCAACCACATTAAGTTTTCATAAATTTTCATCCCAGTCCTTTCAACTCTTACTTAGACTTTTAACCATAGCCCTCCTTAGGACCCTATTAATAAGTCTTGGTCTTACAAGGGGTCCCAGAAACTTTCCTTTTTATCCCCCAGCCATTTTATTCATTTCTGTATAAAAAGCTTTGGGGTACCCAGTGAAGGGTAGAAACAAGGGACTTTAGTTGGCCTCTTGCCCAAGCAATTCTTTATCTGGTAATTTGGTCGGTATAATTTTTTTCTCTTCCAGACAAAAATTTTTCTTAACTGGGATGAATAGAGTGGCCTTGTCTGAGGTCCTTTAAGGTTGAGGTGACCAATACAGGGTTCCTTTGGCCCACAGAACATTAGGTAGTTTTGTATCAAAACCTTGGTTTTAATCCCATCAAAGTCTGTTTTATTTATCCCATTTCTTAATGATCATCTAAAGATTTCCATGCTGCTGAGACCAGTCCCTTTAAAATTTCCATATTATTAGGAAGAAATGACTTACCCTCAGCTTTTATTTATTTTCTTGTTAATTAACCTAATTACCATTAGATATCATATTGTTTTTATTAGCATCTCTAAGACCCATTGAGAGGAAGCTGAGACCACAAACCCTGTTTATTTTAAACTAAGGGAGTCCTTAAGTTTAGCAGTTACATTTCTTTGTATCCACCTTTTAACTGGTCTTTCCATAGGTATTGGACTTCCCCTGTAGCTCAGCTGGTCAAGAATCCGCCTGTGATGTGGGAGACCTGGGTTCGATCCCTATGTTGGGAAGATCTCCTGGAGAAGGGAGAGGCTACCCACTCCAGTATTCTGGCCTGGAGAATTCCATGGACTGTACAGTCCATGGGATCACAAAGAGTTGGATATGACTGAGCGACTTCCCAACCCAGTAATCGAACCTAGGTCTCCTGCATTGCGGGCAGATTCTTTACCAACTGAGCTAAAGCGACTTCCACTCACTTCCATAGTTATTACCAGTAAAACAGCTGTTTACAATGTGAGCTCTCTAAAAGTTTACTGACTTAGAATTTTTTTCCAATTTAAAGTCTCAATTTTTAGGATCAGTTCAGTTCAGTTTAGCTGCCTAAGATTGGGTAGAACATTTGTATCTCAAAGGCACAGGGAAATGATTCAAGTTCCTCCTAGAAGGGCTTTGGTTTTCTTATTGTCAGAATTTTGAATTATTGTTGTTTTCAGGGGAATCAATTTTGGTGTTATAAAAAGGAAGCTTTTAAAAGAAGAAATGAGAAAGTAACTTTTTACGGAAAACTGACAAAAGAGTGCTTGAAATTATATCAGAATTTTTAAAAGGCGCCTGAAGTTGGCCCTGCTCTCCACTGCTCCTCCCTGCTCCTCTAAGTATCTCCTTCAATGCTCTCTTACATGGTGTTCGACTCTCTCTGAACTTCCTTTTTATAACACCAAAATTGATTCCCATGAAAGCAACAATAATTCAGAAGGGTTGGTAAAGTTGTAATTATTTTGGCTAAAGAAGTTTTAAAAACCTTCCCCCCCACCTCCACAATTCTGACAATAAGAAAACCAAAAAAAACCCAAAACCCCTCAATCTTGAAATGGCAAAAGAACCCTATTCTGGTGATTTTTAGGTTGAGATTTCCTTTGGTATAGTGTCTCAGATTAAGTAAAGTGAAAGTGTTCATTGCTCAGTCATGTCTGACTCTTTGTGACCCCATGGATGGTAGCCCTCCAGGCTCCTCTGTCCATGGAATTCTCCAGGCAAGAATACTGGAGCGGGTTGCCATGTCCTTCTCCAGGGGATCTTCCCAAACCAGAGACTGGACCCAGGTCTCCTGCATTGCAGGCAGATCCTTTACCATCTCAGCTACCAGGGAAGCCCTTTATCCCAATTAAGTAAGTACTTGCAAGTGTAAGCTCCATATGTAATGTACGTAAACCTGACTGTGATGTTAGTCATTGATTAGTAATCTGTCATTCCTCTTTTGTCTAGAAAGCTTTCCCATTTCACAGTCTGTCAGGATAAGTTGCTATTCGTAACAGTATATGGTGGGCCCTTTTGCTGTTTATGAGCTTAACTCTCCTAGTTGTCACCCTGTAGTCATTTCAGATTTTTTACATGTCTCAGTTTTTCTCTTTGACAGTCTGAAACCATGGTGAGCACTGGGAACCTAGGATCGCCAAACTTTTTGTGTGCATTCCCTAGATTGGCGAGTTTCTTTAAAGAGTGGGTTTCCCTATGGGACTGCTGTGCAGTATAAGGACTGGCCTCCACCTCTGCTTCAAGCTTCTCAATTGCCTGAGAAAGCCATACCTGGCCAGGAGGAGCTCTGTTTCTTATCTATGGATCTAAAAGCTCTCATATGGTATTTACACTATATTCCAGACAACCGTGTTAAAGCAGTCAGTTTAAGGAAAGACACCAGTCAGTCCCTGACCTATTCACCCAGCCTGAACCTTCCCAGGGTCTCTCCACTGGGTACTTCCTCAGTATCCCTGAACTGAGAAGTGAGGTACCTTTTCATCTACCACTGAATAAAATTCAGGATCATCAACCAAGATGATAAAATCTGAGATCATGAGAGATTCATCCAAATTTGTACGCACATATAGAGAGGTGGATCGGCACAAGGGACCCTGCTGATAGCAAGGCTCTAGATCCTTGTAAAGTTTTGTTGAGGGGATGAAGTCTTCTCTGGGTCCCTCTGTGGTCAGCAAAACTGTCCACTGGAAAGTAAAACCCACATAATGCAAAGCAGTGAGTTTCCTTTTTATTTGGGGATCTTACTGAGGAATATATCCTAGAACACAGCCTCTCAGATAGCTATGGGGGAACTGCTCTCAAGAGGTAGGGGAGGAGGTCTGGGAAATAGGAGTAATTAACTATGTATCTTGGTAAAAGATTACTGCTAATTACCAAAAACCAGGGATCTCTAGTTAGTGATTTTAGTGCTTTTCTATGTATGAAAAGATCTTCAGTGTATGTATGTGCAAACCTTGGGTGATTAGAGTTCTTCCTTAGATGCATCTTAATGGTCTAGGAACCATGTATCCAAAAACACAGAATATTTCATCTTTTTTTCTTACCCCCATCCTGAATTGCCTTCCTGGCACACTGTTGGTGGGTGACTTCCTTGAGTAGTGACTTAACTCTGTATAACTGGATGATGAGTGAGCCTCCTGGTTCTTTTTGTTTTCAACTGTGAGGAAGTGGGTGCAGCAGAATGGGGAGAGAGAAAGGGGGCAAGAGAGGGAGCAGGCTGTATTCTAGCCATATTATTTATGAATTGTGTGATCATGACAGTGGTCCTTAACTTCTGTGTGGCTAGTTTCCCTTCTGATAAATGCTGACAGTAGAACCCATCTTGCAGGATAGTGGCATAGAGATTCTAAACCTGTATCATCGTCTCTAGCACCCAGCAGTGGGTGGAGTCTCCATATGTGATGTCTTATCAAGATACCACTTGAATTACAGGAAATTGGAAAAGTTAACTTTGCAGAGCTAGGGACACCAGGAGGACTTTATTTTCCCCCAATATTTGACCCCACAAGGAAGGGCTATATCTAGGTTCCAAACCTAGGGAGAACTACATGAACACTACTGGGGCAGCAGACCTGAGGCCTGACCTTCTTTTCCCCACCATCAGGGCCTGAAGAGGATCTCTGCCTACATGAAGTCCAGCCGCTTCCACCCAAACCCTATGTTTCTGAAGCTTGCTGTGTGGGGCAACAAGTAATGCCTCCAACCAGGAGATGGACATGAGGAGCCAGTGCCCTGGAGACCAGGGGGACCTTCCTGCACACAGAACCTTCTTTCTCCTTCTGTTCACTCTAGATGGCTTCTTGGCCCCCTTATCTCTCTCCCACACCCCTTTCCATCCCTACTTTAAAGATTCAGTTTCCCATCATATTTGAGCAAATCTCCTCCCCTACCCCACATTATCTCTCCTGCACTGAAGCCATCCAGGCTGTCCTTCCCTTCCATGGTTGCTTCTGCTGTGAGCAGCCCAGCCAGATCCCTGGCCCATAGCGCTCTGCTCTGAGCTCCCAGCACTGCCCTGAAGACCAGACCTGGCCAGGTGTGCAGACCTTGCTTCCCAGTGTGGTTCCCGCCCAGCCTATCTGATCCCCAGGAAAGCCTTATTCACACCTGCTGTGTCTTGTCTTATTCCCTCCTGGCTTCCTGGAGACATGAATGACTGTGTTGGGTGTATAGGGGTGTCCATTTTATCTTCTGCTGTCTACTGCAAGGCCACATGGAGGGGAATGCATGTGTGTGTAGAGGGGATGGGGCTTTCTTGTTCATTTCTATCTCCACTTCAAGCACCTCCATTCCTTAGCATCAAGTCTCTGCAGAAGGGGAGCCCTTCTGTGCCTGGTTTCCTCTTTAATTCAGCATTCATGGGATGCCTCCTGTCAGCTCGCACAACTCTGTGTTCAGGGGACTCTCAGGTGCTGGGGAAGGGGTCTGAGTAGTCTACTGATGGTGTGGGATCCTGGTGGATTCGCTTCTGTCACCCTTTCCTGGAAGCTTACCCTGCTTTAGACACACTTCATGTGCATTCTTAAAACATATCTCAGTAAAGTCTGCCCCTACTATATTACAATCGTGTTTTACTTGTTTTCCTCTCCAGCTTGACCATAAAGTCACTGAGGAAAGAATCCGTGTCTTATTTGACTTTATGTCTCGTATCTATTTTTCTGCCTGGCACACAAATGTTTAACAAAAGTTGGAAATTTGAAAGAATGATCTCTAGTTAAAGCCCTGCAAAGTGTACAGTCATTATATGGATTTACAGGTCTGGATATAGTTATCTCAGCCACTTGAGGTAAAAACTAAATTTCAGAAGATTTAAAATCTACAGGTCTGGGGGAAAGCCATTAGGTCTCATTAACTTAAGCATTTAGTAGGCTGTAACTGGCCCTTGTATAACTTGACCTGAAATGGGTAGGTCTAGTGTAGCCACTCTGTCTGGTCAAAAGGTGGAGTGCCATTTTTTATCAGGATACCTGCACCTGCAAACTGCAAAAGTACTGCCTCAATACCTGAGGCATAGCCTCAAGTCTTAGCTCAAAACAAGGAGTAACTTTAGAGAAGTATCCTGTTGAGCAGTTCTCCAGATGGTCATTTACTGCAGTTTAAATAAACAGAGAACAGTAAGAATAATGTCCTTAAGAAAAAAAGTCCTTAAGAATTAAATGATTAAAGATAAAACTGGTATGACAGGGGAAAAAAAAAAGCCCAGTAAAAGAGAGCAGCCAAGACGGTGTAGTATTAAAACTCTGAGCTCACCTTCTCTCATGAGCATACCAAAAGTCACAACTATCTGCGGAAGATGCATCAATCAAAAAGACTGCGACCTACCAGAAAAGATCTTCTGTAACTAAAAGACATAAAGAAAGAAGCACAATAAGACAGGTAGGCAGGGAGGACTCCTGCTATCATGAAATCCCATACCTCCCATGGGGGTGACCCACTAACTTGAGAATCATTATATTGCATAGGTTCTCCCATACGTGGGCTAAATAACTTCAGTCGTGTCTGATTCTTTGTGATCCCATGAACTGTAGCCCACCAGGCTTCTCTGTCCACGGGATTCTCTAGGCAAGAATACTAGGGTGGGTTGCCATTTCCTCCTCCAAGGGATCTTCCCAACCCAGGGATCGAACCTGCATCTCCTGCATTGGCAGGCAGGTTCTTTACCACTAGCGCCACCTGGAAAACCCAGGTTCTCCTATAGGGGAACTGTTTTTGTTCACTACCAATATAATTTTATTGAAATATGGAATGTAAACAGAAGTTTTTTAAAAAAAAACAATCTAACCTTATAGCAATGTATGACATTATTAAAAAGTTAATAAAGATTCTAAAGGGTGATGGGGTAGACATATTCAGCTGCACCCTAGTTGTGAGGTCCCCGGAACTGTGGCATGACTCTGCAGCTGGGGGGTAAGAGACTGCTTGTAAAGCGTGAGTGAGAGCCGAGCCCCACAGCAGGCTCCCAGCCTGGGAGTCCAGCACTGGGAAGATGAGCCCCTAGAGCGTCTGGCTTTGAAGGCCAGTGGGGAGTAACTGCAGGGGCCCCATAGGCCTTAGGGAAATGGGGATTTCACTCTCAAAGGGCTTACATGAACCAGAGGGACCCCTGAAGCACTGGCCTTAGCCAATTAAGAGGCTGGACCTGCACTATCACAGATGCCCAAGGACTCTTAAAGCAGAATCAAAGGGCACAGTTAGGACGTGGTCCGTGTCAAGTCAAGAGACTGGGCTGCATTATAAGAAGTTCCTGGCTTACCCCTGGATCCTGACCATCAAGTGCATTGGTATCTCCCACATTGACCTGAAATTACCTGCTATTAATACGACTTCCATGCCTAGTATTCCTCCATCATTGTTGTATCAGCAGAGAAAGATGAAGCTGATAGAGATCCCAAGCTAGAAGCCTACAGAAAATGGAAGTTTATTCTTCTTTCATGTCCCATGACAAATAGGCCAGGCTGTTGAGGCAGCACTGCTCCGTGAAGTTATTTGGGAACTGAGGCTCGTTTCATCCTGTGGCTCTGCCATTAGCAAGGTTGCTTCCTCATTTCCTTGGTAGCAGATGTAACATGAGTATGGGAAAGAAAACAGAGCAAACCTAACTAAGCAACTTCCCAGGTTACAAGTGAGGCAGGAGTTGCAAACATCACAACTGATCACATTCCATTTGTGTCAGAGGTGTGGCTTTACCTAGTCACAAGGGTAGACACATATTTCAACAGAAAAATAGATTTGGTGGCCAGTTTCAGTCTCTCCCACATCCAGGAGAGAGAGGATAAAGGTTAAACCCAAGACAAGGAGAAACCTTGGGTTTAAGGCAGTGGTTTCAAGCAGGGAGAATAGAAACCAAAGTATTAAAGATAAGATCTTTATCTTCAGATAGACCAAAGGGGAGTGGTGTATTCTTTAGTGTTCCTTGTTGAAACAGGAAAATAATTTTTTGAAGGTATTGGTAGCTCACTAAATCTCTGGAGAGGCCAGGGAGTTGGCATTGGAAGCTGGGTAACTAGGAAGTGTGCCTAACCACATGGGGGGCTGTCCTAGAGACGGCCTCACGGCCACTGTGGGGCACAGATGCTGGAGCTCCTACCTGTGGAATGTGGTACCGGATGTGAATGTCTCATCACTGCTGCCTCCAGCATCCTGATCCCTCCAGCACCACCTGTGCCAGATCGATGCTCAGGGTCTGCTTCTTCAGAACTGAGGTCTTGTGTGCAGTTAATAGAACCTGGGTCCCAGGCCTGTACCTCAGCCACAAGGGGGGCTGCAAAAGCAGGTGAATTCATTAGCATTAAGTTCTGCTGTGTATCACTAAATAATAACAGTGGCTTATAGACTTCCCTGGCGGTCCAGTGACTAGGAGTCCACCTACCAGTACAGGGGACGTGGGTGTGATCCCGGGTCTGGGAAGATGTCACACGCTGCAGGGCAACTGAGTCCGTGTGCCACAACTACTGAGCCTGCGCTCGAGGGTCCACAAGCTGCAACAAGAGAAGCCACTGCAAGGGGAGAAGCCTGCGCAGCGCAACTATAGGGTAGCCCCCACTCACCACAACTAGAGAAAGGCCACACACAGCAACAAAGACTCTGCACGGCCAAACATTACATATATATAAACAGTGGCTTAATAGGACAGAAGTTTATTTCTCAAGTGAAAAAAGGTCTGGAGGTAGATAGTTAAGCACTGGGAATGCTGGATTCATGCCAGTCTTAATGACTTAGCTTTTAAACTTTATGCTTCATCATCCTGAATGGGTGTTTTCCATTCTCTATGTCACCTCATAGACACAAAACAGCTGCTAAAGCCCTGTCACATCTGCTTTGCAAACAGCAGGATGGAGAAAGAGGAGTGGGTCTTGCTCTTTCCCTCTTACAGAAAAACTTCCTGGAAGTAACATATAACACTTCTATTTATATCTCATTGGCTAGAACTTCATCATTTTGGAAATGACATCTTTTGCCTGGGAAGTAACATGCCCAGCAGGAGTGGAGATTCTGTGACAACAGAAGATGGGGACAAGCCAGGGAGTTGGCATTGGAAGCTGGGTAACTAGGAAGTGTGCCTAACCACATGGGGGGCTGTCCTAGAGACGGCCTCACGGCCACTGTGGGGCACAGATGCTGGAGCTCCTACCTGTGGAATGTGGTACCGGATGTGAATGTCTCACCACTGCTGCCTCCAGCATCCTGATCCCTCCAGCACCACCTGTGCCAGATCTATGCTCAGGGTCTGCTTCTTCAGAACTGAGGTCTTGTGTGCAGTTAATAGAACCTGGGTCCCAGGCCCGTACCTCAGCCACAAGGGGGGCTGCAAAAGCAGGTGAATTCATTAGCATTAAGTTCTGCTGTGTATCACTAAATAATAACAGTGGCTTATAGACTTCCCTGGCGGTCCAGTGACTAGGAGTCCACCTACCAGTACAGGGGACGTGGGTGTGATCCCGGGTCTGGGAAGATGTCACACGCTGCAGGGCAACTGAGTCCGTGTGCCACAACTACTGAGCCTGCGCTCGAGGGTCCACAAGCTGCAACAAGAGAAGCCACTGCAAGGGGAGAAGCCTGCGCAGCGCAACTATAGGGTAGCCCCCACTCACCACAACTAGAGAAAGGCCACACACAGCAACAAAGACTCTGCACGGCCAAACATTACATATATATATAAACAGTGGCTTAATAGGACAGAAGTTTATTTCTCACGTGAAAAAAGGTCTGGAGGTAGATAGTTAAGCACTGGGAATGCTGGATTCATGCCAGTCTTAATGACTTAGCTTTTAAACTTTATGCTTCATCATCCTGAATGGGTGTTTTCCATTCTCTATGTCACCTCATAGACACAAAACAGCTGCTAAAGCCCTGTCACATCTGCTTTGCAAACAGCAGGATGGAGAAAGAGGAGTGGGTCTTGCTCTTTCCCTCTTACAGAAAAACTTCCTGGAAGTAACATATAACACTTCTATTTATATCTCATTGGCTAGAACTTCATCATTTTGGAAATGACATCTTTTGCCTGGGAAGTAACATGCCCAGCAGGAGTGGAGATTCTGTGACAACAGAAGATGGGGACACGGATATCGAGAGTCAACTAGCCCCCTGGGGGAGGTGGGACCTGTAGTGTGAGAAGTTCCCCACTTGTGAGAAGGATGTTTAAAAGATACAGAGGACAGATGCCTAACAGAAACATCCTTTTGCACATGTGCATTTCCAATCATCACTACCATCACCACAACAGGATACTCATGCCTACCGTAATACAACTATCCCTGTTCAAACAAAAATACATCTACCCTCTTTCACCAAAACAGGGACAACCCAGTGTCATCAACTACTGCATCCAGCTCCAAGTCTGGCATCTTGGGATAACATTCATATTGATATTCTGAAACTGCCAGATTAAGCATAATGTCAATGACTCCCAATTCAGTCCATATGAAGTAGTAAGGGAATGGGAGGTGGAAAAAAAGGCAAAATTAGATGAGCTCTGTAATTTAATAGAAAACAGCCTACACTCACATTTGCAAATAAGCTGTTTTGGCTTTATCTACCATGCATATAGGGGCTTCCCAGGTGGCTCAGTGGTAAAGACTATGTCTGCCAATGCAGGAGATGTGGGTTCAATCCGTGGGTTGGGAAGATCCCCTGGAGGAGGAAATGGCAACCCATTCCAGTATTCTTCCCTGGAAAAATCCCATAGACAGAGGAGACTGGTAGGCCACAGCCCATAGGGTTGCAAAGAGTTGGACATGATTGAGCACTTGTTTTTATTTATTTATTTATTTATTTTTTACCACGCGTATACCCTTCTATGGTGAGAGATTCCAAAGAGATACTGCATAATAAAGCTTTTACACTAAACGTCGATATCTGCAAACTAAAGCTATTCCCTGGATCGGCTCTTGTGTCCATCCCTCTGGTGACCTCACTTTCAGATTCATTGTTACCCCACTTTATTAGTCCACCACCTGACTGATGACAGACACACAGAGACCAGCCTGCTCTATATAGCAACTCAAGACTTGGAAGCAGAGAAGAAGGTCCAGTCCTGGTGGATTCCAGAACAAGTCTTCCAGAATATGCCCATTATTCTATTCCTGTTAACCAGATCTGGCTTTCCCCAACTCTTCCCAACACAATCCCCCGAGAAAGCACAGTCCTGTCTAAAAGACCCAACAGCCACTCTACATTTCCTACA